AGGATTGCCGGAGCTGCCGGAGCCAGCAGGTCGAGGCTGTGGTGGCTGGGAGTGTGTCACTGCACTCCAGTCTGGGTGACAGAGTGAGACTCCAACTCAAAAAATAAAAAATAAAAATAAATAAATAAATTGTTAAAAAAAGAAAGTACAGAACTTCTCAGTTCCGTAGTTTATCCTGTGCTCTTGACATAAGTTCTGTTCCTTCTACGTATGACCTGCTTCCCCAGTGGAACTACGCAGAGACAGCATCTGTGCTCAGTAGCCTGGCAGTCTGTCCAGTCATCTACAGCCACATGTCCTCCTTTTGTCCATGTAAGGTTGAATGATACATCAGGCAGTACATAGGCACAATGTGAACCCATTTGATTTCTAACTTGCGGCAAACTTATCTGAGTCTGTATGTTTAATATCTAGACCATTCCAGGTCAGTTTTACCCATGGATTTAAAAATCAGTAATGTTCAGTCACACTTACTATGCATATTGTTTACTTTGTTTTTTGTTTTGAGTTGGAGTCTCACTCTGTTGCCCAGACTGGAGTGCAGTGGCAGGCTCCCGACCACCGCAGCCTCGACCTGCTGGGTTCCGGTGACCTTTCGCCTCAGCCTTCCAAGTAGCTGGAACTACAGGCGCGTGCTACCACACCTGGCTAATTTTTTGATTTATTGTAGAGATTAGCTCTCGCCAAGTTGCCCAGGTGGGTCTCGAACCCGCGGGCTCAGGCAATCCACTCACCTCAGCCTCCCAAGGTGCGGGATTACAGGCTGAGCCGCTGAGCCCGGCTGATACTATGCATATTGTTATTGAGGTCCGTTCTGTTGAGTTTCTGCTAGGTTTTCTATGACATACTAGACAGGAGTATGGGATATTTAATCACTTAAACTGCTAGTTAATTAGTATTGCCTTCACCATTTTGTGGTTCAGTACAGTATGTGTTAAATGTATTTTTAAAGTTTAACAGCCCTACACAGCAAACAATAGCTTGTGAGTCATCCTTCATCCCCCACCCCCATTAAGGTAAACAGTATTCTAAGGTGATACAGCTATAACCAAGAGTACATCAGCCAATACATGTAGCTGTGTAATTAAAGGGGAAAGAAAGAGACTGGTGCCTTTAGGTGCATTTTTTTAATATAGTTTTTGTTTTTTTCTGCTTATATAGTCCTTACAGAACTAAGGTAAGATTTTAAGGTTTTTGGAGTTTATCTGTCAGGCAGGCTGAAAGGCCTATGAAATTATTGCAGCTAATTCTGGCAACTGAAATATATAGCGTAATTCTGTTGTAGACTGCTAAAGAGATACTTGGGAGCTTGCAATAAATGCTTCTGAATAGTAACCAGGTTGGTCAGTATAGTGTCATAGATGGGTTACATATGGCAGAAAATGGTCACGTATACATTTGCTATAAGTTCCTTTTTAAAAATGAGGAAGTAATCCAGAGCAGGAACCGATGCAATGCATCTTTTTTTTTTTTTTGAGTTGGAGTCTCACCTGTGGCACGCTCCCAACCACTGCAGCCTCGCCCTGCTGGGCTCCGGCAATCCTTCCACCTTATCCTTCCAAGTAGCCGGAACTACAGGTGTGTGCTACCATGCCCAGCTAATTTTTTATTTATTGTAGAGATGAGGTCTCACCAAGTTGCCCACGCGGGTCTTGAACCCGCGGGCTCAGGCAATCCAGTCACCTCGGCCTCCCAAAGTGCTGGAATTACAGGCTGAGCCACCGAGCCCAGCCAGTGCAATGCATCTTAGCATTACTTTCCTTTGACCCTGAGTTCCTTGTGAGGCATGCAGCTGCCAGTGCCAGAATCCTAACAGTAATCTGCAAGACCTTATGTTACCTGGTTGTGCCTTCCCACTCCTTCCTTAGTTGACTTCCTCTGCTGCTCCTGTCTTTTCACTGTAGACACATTGGCCTCACTGATCCTGGAATAGGTACAGTGCCACCTCAGAGTCTTTGTATGAATTGACTGGTTTCCTTGTGCGGAATTTGTGTTCTCCCAGTCTCCATATCTCTATGGCCTACTTCCTTCCTCAGGTTTTTTAGAGAGTAGAAGACTGGCTACTAGAGATTGGGAAGGTTGTGTGGGTTAGGGGAGGGAAAGATAAAGAGAGATAGGTTTGTGGATACAGACATGCAGTCAGATAGAAGGAGTAAGTTCTAATGTTTGATAGCACAGTAGGGTGATTGACTAGTTAACAATGTACTCAAAATAGCTAGAAGAGAGGATTTGAAGTATTTCTAACAAAGAAATGATAAATGCTCTACGTGGTGAATATCCTAAATACCCTGACATGGTCATTACATATTTTATATGTGTTTCAAAATATTACTTGTACTCCATAAATATGTACAAATATGTATCAATAAAATTAGTACCTTTTTAATAAGTCCTCCTCACTCCACTTTCAAGTCCCTTTACCTTTATTTTTTCCCATAGTACTTACTACATTTTAGATACTATCTAATTTGCTTATTATCACCCCCTGTACCCCTCCTCTGGAACACAAACTCCAAAAGGGCAGCAGTTTTTGTCTGTTTTTTTCCCCCACTGCTACTATCTCCCAGTGCCTGGAACAGTGCCTGGCACACAGTAGGTGCTCAATAAATATCTGTTGTTGAATGAGTCTTTTTGCTTTCAGATTCAGCAAACCATGTCTTCATTAGCAAGCAGAGTATCCCTAAATACAACCTCTGCCTGTTGTTTCTCATTGGCCTTGCATTCTATCCTCTGACTCTGATTTAATATCCTTTCACCTGAGTAGGTCTGGTCCTGGTCCCAGGTTTAATCTGAGGACTGCAATCACATTAATTTTCTCTCAAATGGTCAGAGTAAACATTAGAAGCTGTTGCTTCTTTACTCTATTCATCAATATTAGAAAAGGCAAGATCACAGCACATTAATGGACCCTATTTCCAAGATTGGAGATGATTGGGAAAATATACCATGTTACTGTGCTAACATTTGGGGAATTTTTTCTGTTGCTAACAGGTGTCTGTTTGCCTCTTTTTTTTTTTTTTTTGAGTTGTAGTCTCACTCTGGCACACTCGCGGCCACCGCAGCCTCGATCTGCTGGGCTCTGGCGATCCTTCTGCCTCAGCCTTCCAAGTAGCTAAAACTTCAGGCACATGCTATCAGGCCCGGCTAATTTATTTATTGTAGAGACGGGGTCTCACCAAGTTGCCAGGACTGGTCTCGAACCCGTGGGCTCAGGCAATCCATTCTCCTCGGCCTCCCAAAGAACTGTGATTATAGGCCAGGCCACTGAACCTGGCCGTTGCTTGTCTGTTTTTTAAAATTTTTTGTAGAGACAGGATCTGGCTTTGTTGTCCCCCTGGTCTTGAACTCCTGGGCTCAAGTAGTCCTCCTGCCTCAGTCTTCCAATGTGCTGGAATTATAGGTATGAGCCATCATGCCTGGATCTTTGTGACTCTTTAAAATAAAAACAAATTGTCACCCATAAAACTATTACATTATTATCCTAAGAACCTTTTACTGTTTTGGTTAATATTCTTAGAATAATTTGGGAAACTCAAGCTCTGAGTAAACGGGGAAGTTCAAGGATGCTCTCTAAGTGTCTTGGAGCCTCAGGGGAAACCAAAATCATTTGGATACCTGGCAAGAAATGGAGCTGCGCAAACCCATTTTATTATGAGACCAGAGCCTCGACCCACTGTGCTCTGGTGATCCTTCCGCCTCAGCCTTCCGAGTAGCCGGAATTACAGGCACATGCTACCACGCCCAGCTAATTTTTGATTTATTATAGAGATGAGGTCTCACCAAGTTGCCCAGGTGGGTCTCGAACCCGCGGGCTCAGGCAATCCCCTCACCTCAGCCTCCCAAAGGCGCGGGATTACAGGCTGAGCCACGGAGCCCAGCAAGGTTGTCTTTTATCAATGGATTTTTATTGTGTCTCATTGCTCAATTTTTTGCTATAAGAAAAGTTTTTCAAGTTGGGTGCTGTGGCTAATACCTGTAATCCCAGCATTTTGGGAGACCAAGGCAGGAGGATTGCTTGAGCCCAGAAGTTCAAGACCAACCTGGACAACATAGTGAGACCTTTTCTCTACAAAAAAAAAAAAAAAATTCCAGGCATGGTGGCATACGCCTGAAGTCCCAGCTGTTCCAGAGGCTGAGGTGGAAGGATCGCCTAATCCCAGGAGGTTGATGCTGCAGTGAGCTGTGATCATTCCACTGCACTTTAGTCTGGGCTACAGAGTGAGACTCTGACTCAAAAAAAAAGCAAGCAAGAAAGAAAGAGGAAACAGTTTTCTCAAAAGAGCCTGACTTTTGCCTTTAAAAGGAAAAAAAGTTGTTTTGTTTTTTTTTCTTAAAGGTAATGGCCTAGCACTTTTTAATTCCAGATTTTTCTTTACTTGCTATAAGAAAGTTTTCTTTGGGGAAATGGGTGTGATTGTTTATAAATTAAGAGATTAGGAGTACAAAGGTTGAGATCTCTAAAAGATTGAGACCTGAAATTCACTTTGGGATTGAACTTTCACTCACCTATACAGGAGATTGTGTTGGAACTTTGAGGATGTGAATTTAACTTGACCTTCAGCAATTCTGATGGCTGTGGGTGGGCTGGTTTTTCTGCCCTGCTCGGAAGGTAGTCTTTCATGAAAATTGTGACCTAGCCATCCTTTATCTAAATGGTTTTGAAGGAGGGAGGACTTCTCTTTTAAAGCAGTACTTGGGAGTCTAGTTTAAGTTGCAAAAAGCTGCAGAATTTTATTCCAGTAGTTCTAACCCTTCTGTGCTTTGGATTTCTCCCAGTGGACAGCCCTGACATTCATCATTCTAATTCACTACGGTCCAAAATGAGGATTTTGACTGTTGAATCCAAAATTTTTTTAAACCAGTGTCTATTCATATCACTTTACAATCTTAATTTTGTCTTTGGTGTTGTAGAGATTTAATCTACCTGTATTCTAATTCATGGTCTAAAGTATTTGAGTTTTTTGAGTTTGAAATTCAATAGCTCCCATGAAAGACTGAAGACTAAAGGAGGAGTCACAGTATTTCAGTTTCATTGTCTTTTGGTTTCTGTTTACCTCCTTTCAAGCCTAGGCCTACTAAGAGAGATTGGCTCTTAGGATCTCATTGTCTTTTTAAGGCCCAATAATTTTATGTGCTACTAGAGGATTTATAGTTTTAGAGATCATCTGGGGACTCTGTCAAAGCTTTCCTTTCTGGTTCTGAGTGCTACTTAAATATGGAAACTTCAAATGCTGAAATGCGTGTTGTTACCCAGAGGGACATCAGCTTAGGGACATGGAGCTACTGCTTTTATCAGGAGAGGAATCTGTCACATTTTCTCTATAAAGAGTTCCACTGTCCACATGCTCTTAACAGTGAACAGTGTCCTGCCATCTCCTGAGAGAAGTGTGACTTTTATCTAGGATAAACAGGAGATTGGTGCTGTGAGGGCTGCTCAGCTATAATGTAATCCACCTGATCTGTTGGATGGACCAAGAAAGATTATAGGAAGAGGGTTATCGTTGGAATCTTAACCTTGGAAATGAACTTAAAGATAGATACTATTCAGGTTAAAATTTAATTAGCACTGGAAGGAAAATACATTGATGTTTTCTGTGGTGGATTTCATGACTATTTTCTGCTATATGTTTAACTGTAGTCAGATCTAGTCCAGTATCATAGATAGGCCTTTCTGTTTTGTCAGGATATCTCTGAGAATTCCCAAATAATTTATTGGTAAATAGAATTCAAAATAAGATTTATATGTAAGATGGTAGATATTTTTTGGCACTGACTAGGAAAGCAAAGCTTCGGGTCTGTTTAATTCCAGCAGCTAGCAGAAAGGGCGACTTCTGCTTGGAGTCTTGGGTGACATGTATCACACAGTTGGAGTTAGAGTGCCATTAAAATCCTGTCACTCAGAGCCATTCCCCTGGGATCCGTTGACTAGGTTGTGTGGTGCTTAAAACACATCTGAATCATCATTCCTCAGAGCACTGGAGATGGTTGACGTCACTGCCTGGTCCTAGCTTGGACCAGCCTGCAAATAATCTTTCCAAAAGCTAAATAGAGAGGAGGAATAAAAGAAAAAAATATTCTTCAGAGACTTGGAAAGGTCACAAGTGACGTCACAGAAGAGTAGATGATATATAGATGAATAATCTCAAGGGTGAGCCCTGTACTATTGGACTTGGTTTTTCTTGTGGAAGTGTCTCTTTTGGTTACCTGTGGTGAGAGGTGTGGTAAGAGGCCTCATTTGCCAGAGTTCAGACAGAGTTCATCTTGTACCTTTATATAGTATTTTTGAGTATATGGGAACAAGCTTAGAATATTAATTTAGCCTGTTCATCTCCAGTTGTGCCACCATAAAGAGGTTGCAGCTCCTGCGGCAGGCTTCCTATCTTATAGAGGGAAACTAATTGCTAGTTACAGGCTGAAGCTGACAGGCTGCTCTTTCCCCAGCAGCCACAGAAAGTAACCTTTAAAAATCATTATTATTATTAAGCATTTATAGCCTGCTTTTGTATTTTCAAAGTGCCTTATAATCATTTCTATTTGCTCTTCCTATTGATGTCCCTGAGAAGCAAATTGATATTGTTATGGCCACATGTTGCATGTGACATACTAGAGGAACAGAGGATTATGTAATCTGCTTCTTGGTACTATCTGTGATCTGCTTTGGGTATCCTTGGAGCAGAGGCTGAGGTGTGTATTCTGTTCCTTCACTCTTTGGACTCATTTCCTCACTGCTTGCTTTTAATTTGGTATGTGAGTATTGTCACTTTTATACTTTTTTGACTGCAACTTACAGTAAGAAACGTACTTTACATAGTGTGCACACACAATATATACATAAAACTGAGCAGCTTCAGGAAACATTACTTACTCTTTATGAGTAAGTATAATATTTTCTATTCTATTTTTTAATGCCAGTTTCAGCTCACTCAGTTAATTTTAAGAGCCACCAGTTGGTCATGACCCACCATGCTGGGGTACTTGAAGCTAAAGAATACACATTGGCACTGGAACATCAGTTTTACTCAAAGGTAAAGAGAGAAACACGTTATCATATTAAAACATATGTATGTATGTATTATGGAATTTAGCATGGAACTTCAAAGAGACTTTGTTCTTATGTTAGGCTATGTCATTTTATACCTCTGATCCTGACCCTTCTCTCTGCTTCCTCCCCAGTATGTGTCCATACTTTTTTTCTGTTAAGGGAAGTACACTAGAAAATCTTGAGAAGTGCTGTCCTTTTGTAACCTTAAACCAAATTCATATCTTGTCTAATCCCAAATGAGGTCAGAAATTTTGAGTGGCATATTTTGCATTAGTTATTCTTACTTAGCACCTACTCTGTGCCAGTCTCTAGTCTAGAAACTGGAAGTACTATGGCAACCAGAAGACAAAAATCCCTTCCTTTGTGGAATTTATATTCCACCAGATGTGAGGTATGTGGTATGCGGATGACAGTAAGCTAACAAATAAGTAAAATAAACAGTATATCTGATGGTAGGGAGGGGAATGGAAAAAAATAAAACAAGGATTAGAATCTGGAATTGGAGGATTGGGTGGTGCAATTTTATAAATAAGTTGGTCATGGAAGACCTTCCTAAGGAGATAATATTTTATTAAAGCAAAGACTTAAGGGAGTCATGTGAATTTCTGGAGGAAAGGTATTGCAGAAAGAAGAAACAACAAATGCAAAAAGCATGAGGTAAGAGTGGGCCTGGTACATGCAGGGAATATCAGCAGGCTCCTGTGGCTGGAGTAGAGCTAGCAAGGGGAGAGTTATTAGCACATGACATCAGAGAGGTAATAGGAGTCAGATTATAGGACACTGTAACTTTGGTTTTTGTTCTGAGTGAGATGGGAAGTTGTTGCAGGTTTAGGCAGAGAAGTATTTATGAGCTGACCTACATTTTAAGATCACCCTGGCTGCTGTATTAAGAATGGACTAGGGAGGGAAGCTAGGTGTTATGAAGGGGGGAGATGTGGGAATGGATAGAAGACAAGTGCAGAAGCAGAGAGACTGTTAAAAGACTTTGCAGAATTCCATGCACTGAGTTTGGAAAGGCAGCAGGAGGTTCTATTTGGGGATGAGAAAAGGAGATCAAGAATTTGGTTTTGGCCGTTTCCCTTTGGGAAGTATCTGTTGGTTAGCCAGGTGTAGATATTAAGTAGGCAGTTGGATATATATGGGATCACTGGTTTTCCATAGGCAAGCTAGGTATGATGTAAAGCTCTTGGAAAATATTTCTCCAATTTGTCTGGATTATATCCTCCTATTCTGTACCTGTTGGGTTAGTGAATTTTAAAGTTGGAAAACAAGAAACTCCCTTTTTGCATCCTTTCCTCCAAAGGTAGTCAATATCACACTCGTTAGCTTGCTTCAGTTCTATTTAAGAGTCATCAACATCAGAATTGGAACTGAACTGGCTTCATACTGTGTTTTTTCTTTGGTTCTTTTTATCACCCAAATAATGACTGGCAAATCCTTGGAGAACCTAGCATTATCTGGGTTGTTGTCTACTACCTGTGTTATTCTTTCTTAGCATGTAGGTATTATTTTAGCTCAGTGATTTTAAACCAGAGAACCCATACATCATCCTATCACTCCATCCCTGCCTCCTTGAGAGTCAATGTGCCTAATGAGAGATGTTACTGGTATGATTATATTATGCATATGAATGATATAGAGGTAGAAAAAAGGTTGAGAAACCAATGTTTCATTCCGTTTGCTCAGCATCTTTTCCTTAATTTTATGCAACAAATATTTATTGAGCCAGGCAGTATGATGGTGAAGATGAGAAATGGCCCCAGCACTCAAGGAGCTCTTTGTATTGTAGGTGAGCCAAATTAAAACAGTTGTTTTCTACAATGATAAACGTGTATGCATTGGGTGCTATAGAGAGGGCCTAGAGCTTTCTGAGAAATTTCAAGCTTGAACTGAATCTTAAGGTTAAGTAGGTGTTTTCCATACAGTAAAGATTAAGAAGATTATATTAAGCAGAAAGAACAACATATAAAAATGATACGGAGCTGTGTCTTTCCGTGTTTGGGGAACAAGAAGTAATTTTGATGTGGTTGAAGTTAAGGAGGTAGGCAGGAGTCAGATCCAAGAGACCCATATATGGGGGAGAGGGGCAAAAAACTTGGAATTATCTTTTGGAGGGTCAGCCCCTTGTAGTACAGGCTTCCCCGACTAAGGTAAGTGTTCTAGGAACCCATCGGCATCAGTGTATCAGTTAGCATTGTTGTGAGAGGCTTCTTTTGGCTTCAGTTAATTTTTTTCGGAGATTCTTTCAGCACATTTGCCCATTTCATGATGGTTGATTTACGAACGCACCTGCCCACATGGTACTGAGTGTTCAGCAGTTTTTGACAAAAAAACCTGGCATGACCCCATGCCCCCACCCTCTCTATTCACCCAACCATACCCCAGGTGACTATTGTTTCTCTGGATAAAAAAAATCCTCAAAGGGAAATATTTTGCCAATGTGGAAGAGATGAAGCAAAAAAATGGCAGACACACTAAAAAGCATCAAAACTGTAAGTTCAAAAACTGTTTAGAGCAGTGGAAAAAGCATCTCAGTAGATGTATTACATCAAATGGAGAGTACTTTGAAGGTGATTGAAGTTTAAACATGTAAGAATAAACACACAGTTTGTGATAAATAAATTATGGGTTTTTGGAAGTCCCCTCATATTCTGAAATGAACCCAGTTCTAGCCAAGAGTAAAAGTTTGAGAACTGCAAAATGCAGATTTTGAAAAGCTATGTAAAACAGATAAAATGTGTCCCCTGATGAGTGATCTGTATGGTTGATCCTATAAGGAAATGATAATTTACTAAGGAACAGTAGCACAAAGAATCATTAAGCTAACAATTTGCAAATAAGCCTTTTAAAAAAAATTTCTTCTAATCTCTTTTTAGTATAATAATAGTACTACATTTAAGCATGTGTAAGATTTCAGATAAATCTAATGTAGTTATCCTTAATTATGAAAAATTATCAGTAAAAAGGTAAAACGGAAGCCGAGCTCGGTGGCTCAGCCTGTAATCCTGCACCTTTGGGAGGCTGAGGTGAATGGATTGCCTGAGCCTGCGGGTTCGAGACCAGCCTGGGCAGTGAGACCTCATCTCTACAATAAATCAAAAAATCAGCCGGGCGTGGTAGCGCATGCCTCTAATTCCGGCTACTTGGAAGGCTGAGGCGGAAGGATCGCCGGAGCCCAGCAGGTCGAGGCTGCAGTGGCCAGGAGCAGCCACTGCACTCCAGTCTGGGCAACAGAGTGAGACTCCAACTCAAAAAAAAAAAAAAAAAAAAAAAAAAAGGTAAAACGGTAGATGGTGAAAGCAGAGGGAATTTTTTTTTTTTTAACAAATTGTTGTTATAGTATTATTATGAGCCAGGGCTGTTCTCTATGCTTTGCAAATATTAACTCATTATCCTCATGACTTCCTCATGTATTCAGTACTGTTGTGATCTCCATTTTATAGACAGGAAACTTGTCAGAGTCAGAATTTCAAATCAGGTGTTCTGGCTCCCAAGTCCGTGTGTTTCAGCCACTGTGTCTGCTGCTCTGATGTGGGTGTCCTAGCTTCTCAGAGAATTGTTCTAGAGCGTAAGTTCCAGAGTAGTCCTGAAACTCCTGAAATTGTATGGCAGAATGTTCCATGTACACTTTTCAGCAAGAGGATCGACTTTATGGCTTTCATCTGTTTGTCAAAAGGGTCTACAAGGCAAAACAGTTTAGCACCACTGACCTAGAGGAGCATTTCATATTCTTTCTATTGTAAAGAGCTCCTATTGGCAAATGATTCCCTGAGAAGAATAAAATGTTTACAAGCCCATTCAGACTTCTTAGATAATATTGTTCTAAATTAATTATCTGGTTGATCTTCCCGGGAACTTTTCCTAAATACTCATACCAGATCCCAGATTTAGAGGTTGTAATTCTTTCATGTAGGGTATGACCCCTCTGTTTTGAAAAATCTTTTTAGATGAACCATTAGTATTCTCTGGAGGATGAAAATTATGTTTTCTTTATCTTTCCTGATATCTCAAATGATGGGGACATAGTAAACCATTAATGTTTGAATTAGTGGCACATTGTGAGATGTGACTGCTTTATATTCAAAGATTATAGTAATGACAATCACTTGCACTTCACATGAGATTTTTATGTGACCCACCTGGCACTGCCTCAAGATCTTCTTGGGAGCCTTGTTTGAAATAAGAATTATCCTCTCAGCCGTGCTCGGTGGCTCAGCCTGTAATCCCGTGCCTTTGGGAGGCTGAGGTGAGTGGATTGCCTGAGCCCGTGAGTTCGAGACCCGCCTGGGCAACTTGGCA